TGTGAAGTAGCCACTTCATGACGAAATCACCTCGGCTGGTTATGAGGCGTTTGCAAACAAACTGCCAAGCTCGGCGAACAGGCGAAATGGAAGCTTTATACTGTTTGGGCAGTAACACGTTACTTGGTTCGAGTAAGTTTCGGCATGGATACAGAAGGTGCGGTTACATTTTCCGATATGAAAAGCCTACGTCTCAGTTTCGACATCCGTCTGTCTAGTGTAGTTCGGGAGGAGGGGGAACTGCTGTATGATGCAGGGATTTGGCAGTTGCAGAAACAGGATAGATTAGTGGTGTCTGTCTAAACCATATTGCGCACGTCTGGGGAGGGGTAACGGGGCAAGCAATGCTGGGTTTCAGGTAAACGTGGTCGCCTACTTTAGTAAATGGTTAAGCCCATAGATTATGTTGGCTGGGGCATGTGATACACATGCCAGCAAATAGATTGCCATTGAATACGATGATTGCCGAGGCAGGTAATGGGTGGCCAAGCTAAGACCTACATTGAGGGTATGAGAATCATGAAGAGCAGACCTGTTTATACAGATCGGGTTGGGCTTCCTAAATGGGGGCCCTGAGATCAGCATAACCGATGGTCAGAAAAGCTGAGTGATATGATCGTGTTGTAAACTGTAGAGCTTGTGCATCTTCTCAATCTCCTTTCAACCGTAGTCTACCACGGTTCTTTATTTTGTCTTTGACATTGCCTTTAATATTCTACTCTTCAGTTCTGCCCTTTCGTCCAAATCAGCAACGAAATCACTGCAGGGAAGTACACGGTAAATTTTTGTTTAAACTAAAAACCGTCGTGGTCGTTGGCTTCATCGCCTTCGAGCTCGAAAGCGGATACATCAGTACATCAATACACGTCTGCAGCAAACACGCGCCTTTTGGTTTCTCCGGCCATTACTTGGTTGCACACGAGCTACAAGGTCCGTCAGTGATATTCGTCACGATTGGCCGTAGTCAACTTGAAACCTTAGACCTCACATGCCTGCACAATCCTAGACAGTGAAACACGTAACATCATTGTTGGTGACTCTAATTATGTATCCACCTATCCCATAACTTCTTTTAGCTTAACTGATATTTGCTTGTACCCCACAAGAGGTAATTTATTTTTAGACAAGGTAATTACTAATCACCCAGAACATTTTGCTCTAGAACTCACAACACCTGTTTCCACTAGTGATCACGCACTGATTCTTATAAGACCCACAGTGTACCCCCGGACAGTAACAATTGTTCCCATTCCCAAATCCTTCAAACGTTCTAACCAAACGCTTTAACCTCTGTTGGACTTGAGCCAACAGAACGTGTTGCTCTTAAGCGCATTCAGGCCTCCATTGCTGTCCCGTATGATTCTCTTCAGTTTGCCTATAAACCAAACAGATCCACACTAGATGCAGTTTCCTCTCAATGACATAAAATTACCAGATCCTTGAATGACTGCGAAATCTGTCCGTTGTGCATTTCTGGACTACTCATCTGATTCTATTCCTCGTTCCCTTCTTCTTCGCAAACTGGAGACCTTTGGTTGTCCTAGCTTGGCTTGCCGATTACTTCTCCGAGAGAACTCAATGTACCAGGTTAGGTCGGAAGAAATCCAAACCGTTGTTGAACAGTTCTAGAGTACGCAAAGGTGCAGTCCTTTCCCCGTACTTATTTTCTACGTATATTAGTGATTTTTCTTTTCAACTATGCTGACAATGTGGTTTTGTGAGACCATCTCCGACTCTTTTAGTCTTTCACAATTTTCCGANATTTTCCGACAACTTGGATAGCGTTCAACGGTTTTCCGCCACATCGAGTCTATCTCTTAATCCCTCCAAATGTTTCGAATGTCTCTTTACTTATCACGCTCTTCTTACCCATCTGAACCGGTATCAATTAGTTCGGAACCAGTATCCCGGGTAAACTGAGCGTTTTTATGGATACTGATCTTCACTGGACCTCTCACATTCAACATATCGTCAGTAAGCTTCGACGACTTTCTTTTTATCTCCGTAAACTTCGTCAGTTTCGTTTTCGGCAATCAGTTATTTCCAAATTTGTGTACCATTGTACTTTCCCCGTTTTACTTTAATGTTCACTCGCTATCTTTTCATATCTCCTTAAGAAAGATTTTAAACTGCTTTGATGTGGACTAACCATCATTAGCCGTGTCTCTACAATCCCGCTGAAGGAGTTGGTAAGTGACCTATGCGAACGCCTTTTTAATGAATGTGAAAAGTTTGCACTTAAGATTCTCATCGACTCCACACATCCGCTACACGCAGATCTAACTTCCTATTGTTCCCATCCTTCAACTAGATCCCAATAACGTTGTGTTCCTTCTCGAATGAACATATATATACTCTACAGCACCCTCATTAGCAC